ATGGTGGTGCCGCGCAACGACGAGGAGAACGACGCCCTGTTCGAGGAGGGCCTCCAGTTCGAGGAGGAGTGCATGGTGCGCTCCAAGACCAACGGCTACTGGCTGGGCATCGTGTGGCGCCTGGACGCGGGCGCCTGGCGCGACGTGACCACGCAGGGCAACGTGTCCTACAAGAACTTCAAGGGCAGCGAGAGCTGGGCCCGCACGCGCCCCGAGGCCTGCGCCTACTCCACGCTCAGGTACGCCGACACGGAGCCCGAGGACTACGGCGAGTGGTACCCGACGCTGTGCGACTCGACGGTGTGCGCGGCGTGCCGCTACGACGCGCCGCCCGCCCTCAGGGTGCGCGGCCTCTGTCCCACGTCGCTCATCGACCGCGAGTACTACGTGTACGGGACGGCGAACGGGCGCCGCGTCATCAACGGGCGGGAGCGCACGCAGATCGCGCGGGCGCCCGACCCCGACGGCGACGGCCACTCGTGGCAGCTCAGCCTGCTGGGCGAGCCGGCGTGCGCGCGGCGTCCTGACGGGCGTGGGCGCCTTCGAGTACCCGCTGGGCATCCGCGAGTGGCGCATCCAGGGCGACGACTGCCCCGGCGAGCTGGTGACGCTGAAGCTGTCGTCGTGCGGGCGGGACCGCTACATGTGTCGCGACGGCACGTGCATCGCCCGCGCGCGGCGCTGCAACCTGGACCTGGACTGCCTGGACAGCTCGGACGAGGTCGGCTGCAACACCGTCATCATCCCCGACGGCTACGACAGGAACCTCCCGCCCAAGGTGAGCAGCGACCGGCCGGCGCGCGTGTGGGTCGACCTCAAGATCCGGCTGGTGCGGCGCCTCGAGCTGCTCGACTCCAAGCTGGAGCTCGACATGGTGTTCAAGCGCACGTGGTACGACTCGCGCCTCCGCTACAAGAACCTGCACCGCGACAACAACCTCAACAAGATCGACGACCTGGTGGACGTGGCCTGGTACCCCGACATCGTCCTCACGGGCTCGGAGGACAGCACGGCCCAGGTGGACGTGCGCAGGACGGCGGCCTGGGGGCAGCTGGAGAGCGAGCCCGACGCCGACAACGACTTCCTCATCGAGGACGGTGAGGGGGCGCCTCAAGGGGTCCCGGGCCTGGAGGAGGCCACGCGCGGGCCCCTGCGGTTGGCAGGTTGTAGAATCCCTGGTTCTAGGAACTGCTCGGGGAATGGGGGAGGGGTTGCCTGCTGTAAATTCTTCACAGTTGCAAAAGCTATGTGCCTTTATATAACATGTGATATATAATATTGTGTATATATTCACCTTAAGAAAATGAGTCACATAATTGTGAAAAAAAACTTTTTCCACATCAATCCACTGGAACCTTTCTTCAAATCATCAAAAAAATCTTTCTCTCTCTTCTCTCTCTTCTCCCCTCTCTCTTCTCTCTCCTCTCTTTCCTCCCTCTCCCTCTCTTCTCCCTCTCCCTCTCTTTCTCCCTCCCCCTCTCTTTCTCCCTCTCTCCTTCTCTTCCTCTCCTCTCCCTCTCCCTCTCCCTCTCTTTCTCCCTCTCCCTCTCTCCTTTTCCCTCTTCCCTCCCCTCTCTCCCTCTCTTCCCCCCCAACAGACAACTACTACCCAGGCTCCTCCAACCCCCTGGTGATTGAGCGGGAGCTGACCACCGTCCTCTTCTGCTCCTTCGACCTGAGTTCCTACCCGTTCGACACCCAGCGGTGCCCCATCACCTTCTTCGTCGGCGACTACAGCGACCAGTACGTGGTCACCACCCTCAACACCCTGCAGTTTGCGGGGAACAGGCGCCTCTTCGAGTACATGGTGGGTGTGGGGGGAGAGGGGAAGGGAAGAGGGAGAAATAGGAGGGGGAAGGGAGGAAGGAGGGAGGGAGAAATGGGAGGGGGAAGGGAGGAAGGGGAGGGAAGAGGGAGAAATGGGAGGGGGAAAGGGGAATAGAAGAGGGAAGGAGGTGAGGAAGAGGAGTGGGAAGGGAGAAGGGGAGGGAGGAAGAAGGAGACAGAAGAGAGAGGGAGGATTCAGGTAGATGGACATTGTTATGATGAAGGTGGGAGGCATAGTCCGTGCTTCGGTACTTGGAAGATGTTTTTATAAAAAAAATAATAATAACAATAATAATTATAATAATAACAACAACAGTAGCAATAATAACAATGGTTAAAAAACAATAATGTGTGTGTGTGTGTGTGTGCAGTGAGTGAATGAGATTCAAACACACAAACAAACACAATAAAAACGAGAACACGAGACCAAAGAATTGCCAAATAAATAACTAGATAAGATTAAATATTAATAATTCCTCTCTCCCGACCAGGTGGAAGACCTAGAAGCCTCCTCCGTGTCCCAACAGAACAAGAGCGGGCAGCGCGTGGTGCTCACCCTCACCAACCTCTACGGCTACTACATCAGCGCCGTCTACATCCCGACCTTTTTACTGATCATCGTCTCGTATCTCACCTTCTTCTTCCCTCTGGACGACTTCAGTAACCGCATCACTGTCTCCCTGACTTCGCTGCTCGTGCTCTCCGCTCTCTTCTCTCAGGTGAGGAACGTGCGCGCTCCATTTTTTTTTCCGCCATGACGAAAGGTGATCGGCGTAGAGGGGATACGGGCGTTGTAAATCTATTTTGGTTGGTTGGTTTGCATTTGCTAAAGAAGTGTATGGGATTTATACGTGGTAAATGTAAATCACAAGGATTGTAAAAGTGCACGGATATATATATATATATATATATATATATATATATATATATATATATATATATATATATATATATATATATATATATATTTCTTTAACAACACGCACACACACACATACACACACTATATATATATATATATATATATATATATATATATATATATTATATATATATATATATATATATTATATATATATATATATATTGTATATATTCATATATAGAGTATGAATCTTTATGACGAGACAAAAAACAAAATAAAGCTAAAACCACACGATTAGAAACACGTCACATTCAACAGATCATGTTTATAAACTACATTAAAAACCACACTGATAAAAACACACATATAACCTACACAGGTCGCCTCGGGGTTGCCAAAGACCGCTTACCTGAAACTCATCGACATCTGGTTCCTGTTCTGCATCATGACCGACTTCACCATGATGGCGCTGCTGGTCTTCATCAACAACTTAGTGGCGGATGCCGTAGCGCCCAACAAAACGACGCCCGGAGTCTCTCTGATCAAAGTAAAAGCCTTCGAGAATGTGAGTCACATGTTGGCGGTGTCTGATTTATTTGAAATGGATGGATTCGTTAGATAAAGGTAGATAGAGATATGTTGAGAGATTGATGATGGGGAGATAGGCAGATGTCTTGTAAGGGATCGGATATTTAAATCTATGAATAATCAAACTGATGAATAAACTTGTTTTTAAAAATGTTAGCTTTTATATATACACACTAATATGGATCTTCCTGTTTTATGCATGTGCGGTTATCAAAAAAAAACTTTTATTCCTTATTTTTTATAGGAAAGATCCCTTCCACGCGCCCAAGGTGTAAGTACCAATTCAATTTTCTTTTCCACTTTGAAAAAACAAAAGACAGTCGTGCAATATTTATCATACATATATAGTCAATTCTCTATATTTCAAAAACAGTTTTGAAAATTCTTACATCATATTTTGTGATTGCAAACTTATTCTCCACAAAATTAAAGCCCATTTTTATATTCATTTTACAGAAAATAGAACAGGAATCTAAGAATTTTAATTATCATGATAGGGAAGAATCAAAATCTTCAATTTAAAAAAAAATGCATTTTGACATTAATTTAAAATTCTTATTTATCATCCAAAATCACTATTTCAATCACTCAAACTAACATCTTTTTGTCTAAAACATCTATTTATCATCATCCTCACTATTATTCTCACCATCACCATTACTATCACCCTCACCACCACCACCATTACTATAATGATAATTGCCATAATTGCCACTCCCCCCCCCCAGGCCCGCCCGCGCGCCCGCACGAAGGCGCCCGTCGTCAACATGGCGGCGCTCGTGGTCCTTCCGGTCGCCATACTGCTCTTCGTCGTTGTCTATTTCGTCTTTGTCTTTTCTCTTTAGTGTTATTGTTGAAAAGTTGTTGTTATTGTTTGTTGTTGATTTGTTGCTGTTTTTGTTGATTTGTTGTTGTTTTTGTCTTTTCTCTGTAGTTTTATTGTTGATTTGTTGCTGTTTTTGTTGATTTGTTGATTTGTTGAGTTTTGTTGATTGTTGCTGTTATTGTTGATTTGTTGTTGTTTTGTCTATTCTCTGTAGCTTTATTATTTTGTTGCTGTTGTTTTTTTCTGTATATTTATTGTTGATTCGTTGCTGTGTTTTTTTTGTCTTTTCTCTGTAGTTTTATTGTTGTTACTAATCTCTCTTTTTTTAGTTTTATATTTTTTTTCTTTATCTTTTATTGTTGTCGTTATGGGTTTGTTAATATCATTGTTTTTTCATCATAGGAGGTTATGTTTTTAGTCGCGTTGGTTAGTTAGTTTGTTTGTTGGTTAGCAGAACTCAAAAAGTTGTCAACAGATTTTATTTATTTATTTATTTATTTATTTATTTACTTATTTATTTTTTATTTATTTATTTATTTATTTATTTTTATTTTTTACTAGTTTCTTAGAGGTGTTTCTTAGCCAAAGTTGGTGGTGATCCGGATCCAGGAACTTTTTAATGATTGCATGAGTTACCTTTTTGCAAATGCAACTCAAAAAGTTATGGACCCTTTTTTTTCTTTCTTTCTTATTTAGCGTTCTCTCTTCCTTTCTCTTTCATCAACTCGATCTTGGTCTTTGTCTATGTTTCTAACGTTTTCTCTGTTTCTGTCTTTAACTCGTGTCTCTGCTTAAATCTCTTGTCTTTGCTTTCTCTCACTCTCTCTCACTCTCACTCTCACTCTCACTCTCACTCTCACTCTCACTCTCACTCTCACTCTCACACTCTCTGCTCTCACTCTCACTCTCACTCTCACTCTCACTCTCACTCTCACTCTCACTCTCACTCTCACTCTCACTCTTCTCTCTCTCACACTCACTCACACTCACACTCACCTCACACTCACTCTCCACTCACACTCACTCTCACTCACTCTCACTCATCACTCTCACTCACTCACTCACTCACTCACTCACTCACTCTCACTCTCACTCTCTCCACTCTCACTCACTCACTCACTCTCACTCTCTTCTCTCTTCTCTCTCTCACTCTCTCTCTCTCTCTCTCTCTCTCTTCTCTCTCTCTATTTCTGCCTGTCTGATTCTCTTTTTCTTTCTTTTCTCTTCCCCCTCTTTCTGTTTTTCTCTCTTAATTCCCTTTCACACGCACCCTTTCTCTCTAATCCCTAGCGAAGCATTAAAAAAGTCAATTGAACAATAAAAAACAACTGAAAATAAATTATAAAAGACAGTCAATCAAATTAATAAATATAAGAAAACGAAATAATAGAAAAATTCAAGTAACTCTCATTTACGAATATCTAATACTTAAGAAGTTTACAAGTCAAATATATTTAAGAGTTAATAATCAGTTATAAAAAAAACGTATCATTATATAAATCAAATTTGATGCAACATAAAAATATTGTTTTCCATATATAGAATTCGACTTGTGTGTCATTGTGTATTGAATATTCTTGCATGCAATTTGCTCAGTGTTACTATTACGAGAAATTTACCAGCATCTTTCAGTCAGTCAGTCAGTCTGTCAGTCGACCTCGACGAGAAATGCCCCAGAATTTTACAAAACACCGACAAAGCAATGGTAATAGTTTTTGTTTAATTACTTATTTATTCCTTTTTTAAAATGGCACCCTAATCTCGCATGTTTTGCTCTATCGCAATGTTTTATCAACACGCTCCCTCCCCCTCACCGCAATAAGTCCCTCACAGCATATATCATACATAAAATTAATATAATGTAATTGAAATAAAATTCCAAAATACATAAGTCCATGCATACAAAACAGACAAAAAAAATATTCCTAACTTTTTTGGAGGTAAAATAGAATACCCATATATATTAATTCCTGTTTGGGAATCGCTATTATTAATTAAATAATTTTCCTTGTATTTTTTCATTGGATTAATAAATGCACTTACTGTACAAGAAGACTGTTTACTGATCTACTTTGCCCTGTATTCCCTTGTTCTTTCATTAAAAGCCAATAATTGTATTTAAACACGATGTAAAAACAAGTATAAAATAAGATTCAATGTGGTTCTCGATTTTTTGCAGTGTGAAATTCTCTCTCGCTCTTCTATGCCGTGAATACATGTGTGCGTGCGCGTGTGTGTGTGCGTGTGCGTGTGCGTGTGCGTGTGCGTGTGTGTGTGTGTGTGTGTGTGTGTGTGTGGTGTGTGTGTGTGTGTGTGTGTGTGTGTGTGTGTGTGTGTGTGTGTGTGTGTGTGTGTGTGTGTGTGTGTGTGTGTGTGTGTGTGTGTGTGTGTGTGTGTGTGCGCGTGTGTGTGGTGCGCGTGTGTGTGTGTGTGTGTGTGCGCGTATGTGTGTGCGTGCGTGTGTGTGCGTGCGTGTGTGCGTGCGTGCGTGTGCGTGCGTGCGTGCGTGTGCGTGCGTGTGTGTGCGTGCGTGCGTGCGTGCGTGTGCGTGTGCGTGCGTGCGTGTTATTATACTCCTCTTTCTATATAATTCTAACTATATTTTGCAGCTGATAAAAATATCTACTCGGTTCTCCCCAAAGTAAAAAAGGATATATAAAAATGCAGTTACAATCATTCATAATATACCTGTATTGCATTAAGCATTTGTAGGAACAAAAAACATATACAAAAAACGTGTTCTTTTCTATTGCATCTATTATCTATCACTTCTTTAATAGATAACAAATTCGATCAGTCACTCCTTACAACAGTAGACTTTCAGAAATAATTTAATCGATTTAAAAAAAAAAGTCATCAAACCATTACCTGGCATTTTCTCATTTCAACTCATTTCAAGTTAAGTTAAAACAACTGATAAATACTTTGCGTACCGTAACCCTTACTCAAAATATAGAAGACTTAACTCAAAATATAGATACAAAATATCAATAATGCTTTGCGCTCGTGTCCCTCGTAGAAAATGTAGACAGTTTGGAACGTTTAAGAAATCATAAAACGATGTGGTGATATCTTTATAATAGTAAGTTTTAAAGCAGAGCTTAGGAAAATGGGAAAATTTGATAATTGTAACAAAAATAATTCTCACACTATAATATTTACAATACTAAAAACATTTATGTAAGAAACTTGACCACAAAAAATATATTAACTAAAATATGCAGGCGCACAAACAAATTTTCTTGCTACTGGTAGCCGATAAAACGCTAAACATTATATATATATATATATATATATATATATATATATATATATATATATATATATATATATATATATAAACAGTTTTTTTCTACGTCTGTAGCCTCACGGAGAGCTAACAATTGCCCGTTTTATTCAAAGTTAGCATTTTTTTAAATCTTTGTGTTCTGGTCTTCTAGAAGAAATATTGAAAGTTGGCTGATATTTTGAAATAATAACTAAACGTCCGAATCAAAACCCGCAAAACTCTAGGTTATAATTTCTTTGAAAAAATAAGCTCTACATTTCACCACAAAAGTGGTTTCTATTTCTACAAATAAACTTGTATTTGTTCTCAGAAATAAAAGCGTATGTGATTATACCCGAAACTCTACACAATAAATATTTCATGTTGTGTTCCCGACACTGAAATTATTTCTTGGTAGAAGAGAAATAAAGTCTCAAAGATATCTATTAATTTTTGTTTTTCCAGTATCTATTTTTGTTTGTTCTTGTGCAGAACGTGTCTATACATCACAAGAAATTTATAAACAGGCATTCTGATTATAAACGTAATTAATAATAAAAGAAATAACAATAACTTAATTTAAGTAGTCAGTCGATTTTCATTAACATTTTTTTCCTTTACCAACAGCACCTGATATCAAATTTCAAACACTTTTGAATTAATCAAATCATAGGGTTTAGCGTCGTACCTTCACATTTTCCGTTTTTTTTTCTATTCTTATTGCTTTGTACAAGTTAAAGCATGGAAGTCTGTTAAAAATGGAAACCAAAAATAATAGAAAAAAGGAATGAAATATATAAACACAACAATAAGATCATTCTGACTTCATTCCACTTCTCATACATATATATATATAAACTATAATTTGTTTCACCTGAAATAGGAGTCATGTTTTACTTCCATCTTGATAAAATTCACTAAATATCAAAAACAAAACAAGGAAATACGTCAACATAAACAAACTTTTAAAAAATAGTTGTTGCTTTTTCTGCTTTACTTATTGCAAAACATCTTAGTTTGAACAAAAAAACGAAAAATATCATCGTAAAAAATAACTTTTGAGCAAAAAAAATTCGAACCACATTCACACCATTATCAGATTAATCATACACTTTAAACTTCTCCTAAGTACGTAATTATTCTTTACTGCTTCACAACAATACCCCAAGAACTGTACACAGATTTAATTCTCATCTTTATGATCTAATGTAATTTAAGAACTTTCTAAGAGGCACTTCAATGGCTAAAGTACAATCATGTAACAAAATTCTAATGGTATTACTTTTTTCACTTTAAACGCGGAATAATGCCAAATAGAGAGAGAGAGAGAGAGAGAGAGAGAGAGACACTGAGAAAAAGACACACAAACAGAAACCTCTGCCTCGCTTTGAGCGTCCCTTTCGCAAACACAAACAAATCAATTTTCATCCATTTTTTTTTTTTTTTTTTTTTTTTGTTCGTTCTGGAACAGACCTCTTTAAAAAAAAAAATGCCCAATAAAACCTTGTGAATGTACTTGAAAATTGTGTTCTTTTCGGGGCAGAGAGAGGAACAAAATCCCGTTTTTGTTCACGCGTTGCCTCTCCCTTCCTCGTGACCCCCCCCCCTTGTGGATGCTTGTGGAAAAATATGAAACATGGTTGCTCACTACATGGGACTTTAATAAGTATATAAATATTTTATTCATTCCATAAATATAAATGAGCGAAGACATAAAAAAAATACGATGTAATGCATATGAAAAAAATAAAACCAACACCATTACATTGAGACATCTGTAACAGTAACAAAACAGTTTACACCTTAAATATGTAAGATAAACTAAATAATGCCTAAGCCAATATATGCAAATTACTTCTTTTCTTTAAATACGGTATATTTATATGTATATATGTTTATATATTTTTTCTTCTTCGAAACATAAAACATCAAAAAAGGAAAAAAGGAAGTGCTATTAAGATTAATAATCTCCGCCGCCCCTATCCGGTGTCCTCCGCGCCCGCGCGCCGCCGCCGGGTCGCGCCGTCGGAAGGGCGTCTCGCGGGCGGGGCGCCGCCGCTCCAGGGCCCGCCCGCGCCGCCCGCCGCTCCGCCTGGGGGCGCGCCGCCTATAGGGACTCCGTCGGGGGGGACGCCCCCCGCGGGGCTATCACAATGCGCTCCTGCGAGTCTGACGGCGGGGGCGGCCGCCTCTGCGGGGTCGTACGCGACGCCCGTCGCCGCCGCCTTCGTCGCCCCGCCGCTGTCGGGACCGCCGCGGCCCCCGCCGCCCGCGCCCTCCACCAGCACTGGGCTGTACGCGGCTTCGGCGCCGCCATCCTTATGCTCGCTGCTGACGTCGGCGCCCCTCGAAGACGCGCCCGCCGCCGGGGCCTCCGCCGCGGCGCCGGACGGGGGGCTGGCCGGGGCAGCCGCGGGGCCGCTGGGCGCGGTCGCGGCGGCGGCGGCGGCGCTGGCGTTGCGGAACAGCAGCGACGACAGGGAGAAGGCGTTCACGGCGGAGGTGCCGCCCGACGTCGTCACCTGGAATGTGACTCTCGGGGCGCCGCCCAGGCCGCCCGTGCCCGGCGAGGGGGCGGCGGCGGCGCGGGGAGCCGCCCCCGACGTGGAGGTGCTCGTGGACGCGCCAGCGGCGGAGGAGGAGGGAGAGGAGGAGGGCGTGGCGGTCGTGGTCGTCGTCGAGGCGCTCGTCTCCGCCGCCGCCGCCGTAGCCGCCGCCGTCGCCGCTGCCGTGTTCTGGTGCAGGTTCTGTACGATGTTCCTGACGTTCCTGAAGACGAAGCTGAAGGGCGGGTTGCCGTTCCTGTTGGCGACGGCGCCCGTGATGTTGCGGAACACCAGGTTGACGACCGGCGAGGCGTTGGGGCGGGCGGCGGCGCCCTCGTTCCGCGCGCCCCGGTTGGCAGCGGCCGCGCCGGGCCGCGCCTGGCCGCCGGCGTCGCGGGTGGCGCGCCGGCGGCGTTCTCCCCGCCTCCGCCGTCGCCGGGGTTGTTGGCGCCCGCAGCGTTGTTGTTGTTGTTGTTGTTGGTGAGGACGTTGCGCAGCACGATGTTGACGGTGTGCACGCGCCCCAGCTGCTGGATCTGCGCGTGCTGCAGGATGGCCGGCAGCTCGTAGTGGTGGAAGAAGTAGAGCATGGAGTGCTGCGGGGGGAGGGGGAGAGGGTTAGGGACGCAGACGTGACAGCCAGAACACTTCCCCGCAAGACACGAAGGCAAATGGCGCTCAAAACTGACTAAACCTAAATCATGAATTCCATCGACCTCATTCTACAAGTTCTAAATCTTACTTCAAGAAAATCATATAACCAGCAATTAACAATAAGTACAACAGGTGAAAACTATACCACCTGCCCAAACTAAACATACTAGCAACTTTTTCTTACCAGTATGAAGAGCCACGAAGTCATAAGCGCCAGCCAAGAATACTGCAAGGTATAGGGAAAAAAAAAAAGTTATTACGTAAAATAATAAATAAAACAATTTTATGATAATATATTTTAAAAAAAATATTTTTCACATTCAACTAAATGAAGTTCAATAGAGACTTTCCCATTATAGATAAGAAAGGGAGGAGGAGAGGAGGAGGAGGGGAGGAGGAGGAGGAGGAGGAGGAGGAGGAGGAGGAGGAGGAGGAGGAGGAGGAGGAGGAGGAGGAGGAGAAGGAGGAAGGAGGAGAAGACGAAGAGAAGTAGGAAGAAGAGGAGAAGGAGGAAGAAGAAGAAGAGGAGGAGGAGCAAGAACAAGAAAAACAAAGCTAAAAAAACAAACACTTACTTGTCCATTGAAGCGATAATGGTAGGCGTAGAAGGCGAAATGATACAAGTAGAAGAAGCGCAGCCAGTGCCTCCTGGTGATGGGTGTGTGGCAGCAGATGGCCTCATACTGGTCGCACACCCACACAAGCACGATGATGTAGAAGGCAGTCGAAGTGTCGTTGAAGAACTCCGACATGATGGCCTCCATGCCTGAGGGAAGGAGAAAGAGACGGAGATAATGGAAGAGATGGTTGTGGTGAGATGGGAGGGGAGGGATGGTGCGTGTGTGTGTGCGTGTGCGTGTGTGTGTGCAAGTGCGTGTGCATGCGTGTTTGTGTGTGTTTGTGTGTGTGTGTGTGTGTGTGTGTGTGTGTGTGTGTGTGTGTGTGTGTGTGTGTGTGTGTGTGTGTGTGTGTGTGTGTGTGTGTGTGTGTGTGTGTGTGTGTGTGTGTGTGTGTGTGTGTGTGTGTGTGGTGTGTGTGGATGTTGTGTGTGTGTGGATGTATGTTGTGGATGTATGTGTGTGGTAGTCACATTTGGGAGATGACCGGTGTGTACTAGCCTATGTGTCGGTGTGGCTACTTTTGGCTGTGTATGTGTTGGCGTGTGTTATTGTTGTGTCGTTGTAGTTGTGTACTACGTGTGTGTGTATGTGTGTATGTGTTTTGTATATGTGTGTGTGTTATGGTGTGTAAGTGTGTATGTTGTATGTTGCTGTGTGTGTGTGTTTTGTGTGTTGTGTGTGGTGCTGTGTTGTGTGTTGGTGAAACTTGTGTGTGCTGTTGGTGTGTGTGCCTGGTGGGGTGGTGGATGTTGTGTGTAATCAGCTGTGTGTCGTCAGTGGCTATTTTTGTCTGCAGCACACATGCTATTGTTGTTTTGTCTTGTTGTGTGTTTCTCGTTAATGCTACTCGTTGATCGCAAATTACGCGATGTGGGAACGGGTTCGGTGTCCTGTTACTCCTTGTTTTTCGGCTTCTTATTTTCGTAGGTCGCTGAGAAATGCTTGTTCAATGGGTTCACAACTGTGTGGGACGTACGCCTTTAGAATTCGCAAGAATAGATGGCTCCTTCTTTGCTAAGCGCGAGCCTTCCTTAGCCGTCTCAGCAAAGGCGACCTCCTACTCCTGGGTTTGTGACCCTTTTTTCGTTTCTGGACCTTGGTTGGTTTCATACACACTCCTTCTGAGTTATTTAAATTTAATTACATTTAATATGTTTGTATTATCATCGAAAGTCTGGGAGAATTCAGGCTCCACGCTCACCGAAATGGAACTATCTCGCTCAGAGGTTTCTCCACTGGAAATCTTTCTCAACCAACCAAAACGTGTGAAATCTAAATTTCGCAGTATGACAAGCGCCCCCTCGAACCCCATCCCAAGGCAGTGGCGACACTCCAATTCGAGTCACTCGCGTGTAACGCAGACAGAGATGTATTGGGGTTGTAGGCATTTTATTTGGACGGTACAGGGCATGGGAGGCGCTTGGGGCCAACAAAGCAGACGTAAAGGTCTAAGTTATGTATGTGCCATCGTTTGAGGACATTCCTTACGCATCCTTTGCAAGAAGTCAACGATGGGAAATAAGATGAAGATCTGGTGGTAGGGAGCTAAACGCAGCAGCATTGACACGCTCAGGGTGAAGACCACATGCACGAGGCCGAGCGAGAGGGTAGTTGCTGCCCCGCCCATCTTGTTGTGGGCTTATCTGGGTCATTACTATGAGTAAACATCCACATAGCTGAAGAGCGGTAGTGCTGGTTGGTTTTGGACCGTCAATACACAGTGACCAGAAGATATAATAGGAGAAGAGAGAGAGAGGCAAAAAGGTCAGAAGCCAATGAACAGGAGGTGTCAAAGAGAGAAAATTTAGTTTCTGTAGCAAGTTTTAAGCCATTTTAAAGACATTCCAAAACTTGCTTGTAATTCCTTTTTCAACTCATATCCCTTGAAATAAGTTGCATCAACTATGTTTCAATCCCCATTGTCCTATTCCGATTTAATTGTAACCCAACAGCTCACTCACTTGCTCTACTCCATAAACACACCCTTGAAAAATATTAATAATGAATAATAACTAGTACGTTTAATAATAAATAATAATAATAATACATTAATAATAATAATAATAATAATAATAAATATTAATACACTAATATTAGTAATAATTTTATAAAACTAATATAAATAATAACAAAAAAATACAAATAATCAATAAAAAACTAAAAATGAACAATGGCACTCCTTTTCTTCACCTCATGACTAGACTTCACCTCAATCGGCCTCCCTCCCCTCCCGCTGTCTACTCCGTTCGCTCTTCTGCTCTATATTCTCTGACCTCCCTGTCTCGGGGGCCTCACATTCTTCCCGCAACCCAACGAAAACTTAAAAATTGTTCTGGTTAATCCCTACCCTATATTCATCCCATAAGTACGTTTAAATCCGAATCCATTTTCATTGTCCATGGTGTTCCTCTCAAAATGCCTTCTTTACATCTCATTATTTCGGCTACCATCTATATCCACCACATCCATTTCTATCCACCACTCCCATCCATATATTTTCCATGCCTACTCCTCCATAGCTACTGACTGTAGTCCTCATATTCTTCCACTTTCTTATCGCAATTATAATACATTATGTTGTATATATTTTTTATAGTTAATTAGTTATTTACGGTTTAGGTTCGGCATACCAGGGTGGGTATTATGTGCACACATTTTTTTATTTGTAAGTGTTATTTTTGGCTGTTTTTTATTGTATAGTAATCATGTGTTTATTTGTTATTATTTTTTCTTTTTCAACTTTATTTTGAGTAACATCCAGAATTAGGGAGCTCGGTCACTGAACTCACTCGGATCTCACCCTGGGTCTCAGGAATTTTTACAGTTTCGGTTTATTTCATCACTCACTCACTCAGACGGTTCAAGGCGGGCAGCATTTGATCACATAACGCCCAGGATGGTTCCTTCCTCCAGTTTTTAATCACTTAAGAAAATAAACAAGAAAGTGTTCAATGATTCACGTCACTATCACGCCTACCACTATCATTTCCGTAAACCCTACCCACCCATTCCCACCCATCCACCTCCACCCACGGACTTTTTTCCCTTGCCCTCACTGTTCCACCCACCCATGCGCATTCTACTCCACCCATCCATCGAGAATCTATCCACCCACCGAATGCTGTCCATAATTTAGCCATAGGTAAAGACTGTATCCACTAAGCCACCCATCCATATATCCGACCCACTGGCCATACCACGGTTTCTCGACTGCCAACAAGTGTGTCACAAGGTGACACAAGTGGATTTTGCGTATTTAAATCATATTCTTGCACTCTTCAAATGTTCATCCTCGGTGATGCTTTGGAAGAGAGTAGTGGGTGATACTCACTTATGATCAAAGGGTCTCTACTACATACTGCAGAACTCCCTTCTCACTCATGCTGAGTTCGCAGTTTATCACTTTCACTCAGACAAATTTACATCCCCACGCCAAACCCCCACCACCATTTTCCATTTCTATTCTTAGTGTTGCACCTCCATCTAGCCATTTAGTCTCTCTCTCCCCTCCTTCCCTCCTTCCTCCCTTTAATTTCTTAGATTCGACTCGGCCATTGTGCTTGGTATTAAGCGGGGATATTCATAAAAGCGACTGTTTTCACATTGTGTAGGGAACTCGCTTTAAGCTACATCATTAGGTCTCCCATCCGGCAGTTTCTATGATATCCTTGTTCTCTTCCTTCTCTCCGCCCAGGCTCGTTAGAATGGACCCCATGAGGATGTCGTCGTAGCCAAGGAACTCGTCCAGGATGAATCGTGAGAGCGTGTCGCCAAAGCAAGCATCCTTCATGGGGTCGAGGGTGACGATCTTGACAGGGATGTTGAGTCTCTGGCGGCGTAAGCGGGGGACAGCGCAGGAACCCGTACTCGAGTGGAATATTCCACAATGTAGCTCCTCTCAGGCCACACTGGGCGGGGAAGAGGGAAGGGGTGTCAGTCACTGAAGCATTTAAATCGTCAGAGGGGGAGGAGCCTGAGAATAAAATCTTGGAGGTAATAAGATCAAGTATCTACTCTTTAATTCATCTTGTGATATAAAATAATATAAAATAACTCATATAACATCCATAGTTCCTTCACTTGACAAACATACTACTAAATTCTTGTGACAGAGAGAAAGAAAGA